CTCAAGAAATAAGCTTTTGAAACAAATTTTGTTACGATATATTTATTATTACTAACAAACTATACATTTTAAATGATGGAATGTTTTCGTGTCATATACACTTTAAACAACACTTGATACTTTCCACGATAAACCTGTGTGCCTAGCTTGTTCCAAAAAAAAAGAAAAAAAAAAAAAAAAAAACAGATAAAACTCACTATAAAAATGGCTGCGGTTATCTTGTAATATAATATTGTATGTTATAATATTGCCACTGCCCTGCCACTATGCTCAATGAGTTTAAACACTACAAAAATTCGTTAGAATTATATCTAGTCTCTTTYCGGGATTTTCGCTCTGACTAGCGAGTCTTTAAGTGATTCATTCTTCTTGTAAGAGWCGAAAGGAGGATCAGGAAAGATCCTCTTAAGGTTCTGGTTGCCAGTAATAAGGAGCCAATGCTTCATTAAAATGTTTTTGATGTTCGGTACGGCTGGATTGTACATAGTGACGAATGGTAGCATTTTACAATGCGATTTTTTGTTTCGTTTTTTAAGCGCCTCTTGTTTTCCAATAAAATTAACTTATTTAAGGATGTTTGTGACAAACTCTTTCGGATAACCTCGATTGTGGAGKCGTTTGGTGAAGCTTTGTATGTCGTTTTCACAAGCTTCGGCTATGGAGTTGTTACGTAGTAGTCTTAAAGCCTCTCCCTTGACAAAACCCTTTTTTACGCTAAGAGGGTGACATGATGAGAAGTGGGTGTATTGGAAGGTTTCGATTGGCTTAAAATATGTTTTCACATCTAAAATGCGTGAAGTGTAGTGTCGAGAAAAGCTACGCTCAAAAGTGAATTTTATTGTGTTGTGGAAATTATTAGCGAAATCAACAAATTTTGTGATCTCTTCTTCAGTTAAAGTCCACACGGAGAACACAKCATCAATAAAACGTTTCCAGACGAGAGGTTTGTAGGGACTATTAGATAACAGCTTTGTTTCTAAAGGTGCCATAAAAATGACAGAGAAAGCAACAGCCATTTTAGTTCCCATTGCTATACCGTGTATTTGTAGATAGTGTTTGTCATTAAATTTGAAAGAGTTTTCTTTCAGAATCAGTCTCATGAGCTCTTTTAGATAATTTACAGGAATTGCTAAGTTTCAATTGGTTCATAATGCTGTTCGTAGTGTGAACAAACCACTTCGATGCCTTCTTCTTGAGGAATGTTCGTGTATAATGAACAAACATCCAGTGTGGCGAGTATAGCATCGTCTGTCACAGGCGCGGAAAAATCACAATGGTTGGCAGCTTTGTCTCGTATGTGGTTGCAAACATTGCTCACTGCAATGATAATTTTGTTAAAATTATCGAAAATTAAGTTCAAAAACATGGCTGAAAGGTTTGTCACATTTGATTTACAAAACGTTATAGATTTTAT